ATATATATATATATATATATATATATATATATATATATATATATATTCATGACCATGGTACAAAATCACCTAAATGAGTTTCAATGCCCTCTTGACGGATGCACTTAATTAAATTAATAACTTATTTTGTAAAAAATATTATCAAGTAGTTAAAGAAAGTAGTTAGCTATAATAGTTGCTAAATATTTATAAAAAGTTAGCTAGTAGACTTCGAAGTGAAAACTTTAGATATAAAAAAGCTCGATAAAAAAAATAGTTATAAACTACAGTTTAAATACTAGTGAGTATTTTGTAACTTTTTAGTTAAATACTTATAGTTGGTAACTAACTACCCTATTCATCTCTGGTGTTCAGTAATACATTATTTATGATAACTATTCGGTCGTTTCAAGATACCATATATCAAAATTTCGGAATTTCCATTACCAAAATATACATTTTTATGCTCAGGAAATTAAGCACTACATGAAACTGGTAACTTAACTACCAGCTTAATTCACTATATCAGCATAACATATGAAAAAAATCGAACTATAGTAAGACCTAATATTTATTCGATCGATTCAAAATTGTATGAATGAAAAACGCTAGGATTTTCGTTACCAAATTATACATTTTCATTCACAGGAGTACTACATAAATCTTCTAAAGAACTACCTGCTTATATCATCGCCACATATTATTCTACATATATGAGCGCCACAGTCCTCAAAAGAAAATTATTATATAAAATAATAGGGCGTATAATGATAAATATTCCTATCTAAAAACTGAATTCCACTGATTTTTAATTACAGCACTGATCAGTGCTGAAAATGCAATAATATTTCTTAAAATTATATATTCATGGTCTCAACCCTAGTATATATATATATATATATATATATTTATATATGTATATATGGTATAAGCTCATCATATGTTAATGCTTGCACACTTTAAAAATAGCATTTAGCTTCCTTCATTGGTTTTTTTGGGGGGCTGCGATTTTTAAACGTTTTTGTGTTGAATTTTATTTCATTAACTTTTTTTTAATATAAGTTTGTACAAAAATGGTGATCAAAGTTTACGTTTCTCGTGTTTCTGGTAGTCTTGATGTTAGTATTAAAATTAAATTTTAAAAAATTAAAATCTGAATACCATTTTTGTCAACCCGGATCGATTTATCATTTAGAGCTCTAGCTAGTTTTTCTGTTCATACATAAATTTTAAAATCCATTATTTAGCAATTAATAAACTAAACTAAAAATGGTACTGAATGAATGACTGAATGATAGTAATAATTGATAAAAATAAAAAGTTGAATATGATCATATAGCAAATAAAAATAAATAAATAAATCTGTCTATTTATCTCTATCTATCTATTGTCTATTCTATTGTAATATTATATATATATATGTATATATATATATATATCTGTATCTATTTCGCTATCTCTATCTATTTTATGCACGTTTGTATGTTGTATGATGGCGACATAAAACAAACTGGCATTCATTAAAAACTTAAAATTGAATTATTTTATGGCTGCCCCCCCATATATGAACGCATATGTTCACCAATTTAAAATTAAACTTTAGTTTAATATCACTATTTTATGTAAGTTTTTGTTCTATTATTATTATTCTGTTTAACTTATAAACTTTATTAGTATAGACCATATAGAATACTATATACTAATATTTATTATAAAGTTTGTAAATATACTATATATAGTTTATAAATATTCTATATATATACTTTATATATATATATAATATTAATATAAATATATTTATATAAATATATATATATGTATAAGTTTATAAATATACTATATAATATATACTATATAAAATTTATAAATATATTGAACAGTCCATACTAATATTTATTATAAAGTTTATAAATTATATAGAATAATAATAATCAAACAAAAACTTATATAAAATAGTGATATTAAACTAAAATTTTATTATATTATTAATTGTTATAGTATATATATAGAGTCAGTATTAAAGAGTATTAGTATCACTGTAAATCAATGTATTACTATAAGTTTCTCTCCATAGTACACTCATGTTTTTTGATTGATTCAATAATAATATAAATCTTCACTGACGACTGCCAGTTAAAAATTATTTATCTAATTATATTACCTATTGTTGAGTTATTTAAGGAAATTATTTAAAGTTTTCACTTTGCAGCCTACACATTCCAAAAATTGAAAGCAGATTTTTTTTATTATCCACAAATATTATTTTATCATTGATGATTATCATTTATGGGCTATATTGGAAGTTGTTTTTATTGTATGTTTGTAATGAAATAATAATGTATACTTATCCTCAAGCAATTTTGCTGTTAAACATGTTTAGAAAATCTCTGAGTAAACATGTTTAAACAGAGATTTTTTTAAACATGTTTTAAACAAATGCATTTTTATTTTCAACCATTTACTAGTAAAATTTTTTATAAATATTTTATTAATGGCATTTTAGATCAGGAAGAAACAGGAGTTTATTCGGTCCGTTCTGCAGGGAAAGAAGATTTCATTCGAAGAGGTGGACATATCTGATGCTGCCAACGAGTCTGAAAAACTTTTTATGAGAGAACACGGAGAACCATCTGCCAATGAGAAGAATGTTCTGCCACCTCAGATATTCAACAACAGTGTTTACTGTGGTGTTAGTCTCTATCTATTTTTTATTTCTTTGGCTTGTGATGCACCCTTTTCTAACATTGCCATTCTATTATTATAATGGCAGTAAGCTATTATTTTTCCATAAATTTTTAAAACTTTTCCAAGTGATTCGGCTTCCATGCCTCTTATATGCATCATTCAACCTAAAAGTTTTACTATTTTCTTTAAGAGGTGTTTTTTAAATTTTATTTATGATTTGTTAAGCGTTGGTCAAATTATTTTTTATAGACACACTTCCTCATATTTTTTATTCAAAATATTATTTGTATATTGTTGATACTTTCTACTCTATCAGTCACAAGAAACTGGTTACAAGATGTTATCACTTAACTTAATAAATTTTTTTCATAAAGGGTTATGAAGCATTTCATGAAGCCAATGAAGATAACGAACTGAAGAAATTTCTAAAGTTGGAGTAAACCACGCCATCACAGCTTTTTTTTCATCAAAATTATGACAAAATTGTAATTTAAAAACGTTATTATTCAAACATTCACATTTTTAAGCCATGTATTTTGGGTAGAAGTTTGTCTGTCTCATTTTTAAACTTTTAAAATGCAGTTGCTTTCAATTAATAGGCCTGCTATAATATCTTTTCAGCCATTTTACCGGTTTTACTTTAACAACAATATGTTCAAGGGATTATTTTCTTAGAAACTTATTGAGATGTAAGACTTAATAACATCATATTCATATTTTTAAACTGTTTGCCTCCCTTTGTTCAATGTGAATATTACCATTCCTCACATTTTGTTTGAATATATGTGAACATTGTTCTATGCCATGAAAATGATTGTTGTGTTTCAAGTAAAGTCTAAATTATTAATTATAGTAAAATATTAAATAATATATTATTATTAAATATAATTATAATTTAACTTGCAGCTCTATTAAAAGTTTGAAAATTGCCATTTTATTTTCAGTGAACCTGCTGCGTACTTTCAAAGGCTTCCTAATCGTTAATTAGCTTATCTCTGTTGTGTGCATTTATTTACTTGCATGTATTCATTCATTTCAATTTTTACTAACACTTGTTTTTTGCTAATTAAATGTTTTTTCGTATTGTTAAAGTTAATAAATACATTTCATTCAAAAAATATTTTGTAGTTAATATTTTCTTAAACATTTCCAATTGTCGTCAAATGAAGATTTAGATTTATTTCATCTGTCCTTTAATTCATTTGTGTTTGTAAAAGTCTAGTTAGAGATTGACCATATAATTTCCTAGCCTATCCAGATTACCTGTTCCAACTTGTACTACGCATTCATTTCCTGCTACCGACGGTCTACCGGTTTTGGCAAAATATACTTATCTTCATTTTACTGTTGTCTACCTCTGTTGTTCATATCGGTCTTCAACGGTTGGCTTAATATCTTTTATAATTGTATGGTGTTTTTGCTGGTGCTATCTGCTAACAGAATGAGTTGACGGCTGAGCTAATGGCTTTTATCTGAGTTGACGATATTACCAGTTGACATGAACGTTGACTTGTAATCATTTTCATTCACCAATTTTAATAGATTTGTGACGTAACAGTTAACAAGGAAACGTCAGCCAGTAGTATAGATTTGTAGTATTATATTTCAGTTCCTATGAGTTATTCAATGAGCACCGTTCGCACCGCTTTAGCAATAAATTTGTATATATAAATATATATATATAGTTTAAAAAGATTAAAATTTTATTAACAAATTTAGCAATTGTTTTATAAACTTTAATTTTACATCATAGCAAATATTGTGCAATATAATATCAATGGTGCTGTCAAGCTATTAAATTTCTGACGTGCAACTGTTGCTAAGTAGAATGTAAGCAAATAAAAAGCCCATTGTATGGTATTTTGATGTCGGCAGGGTAGGTCTGAATTGAAAGGCACACAACTGCACAACTATAAAAGTATAAAAACTCATATCAATTTCACTGATTATTTGACTATATAATTTATATTGTTATTTATACTATTTCTAATTTATACAACGTACTAATTACTAATAAGTAATAAGTAATTTTAATAAAAACAAAAACCAACTTATTCAAATTTTTTGTATGTATGAAAAATCTGCACTGATGAAATAAGGAAATATTTCAATTTCATTTTAATTTAACGCTTTTTTTTAAATTAAATTAAATTTTGCTATGTTATTTATTTGTTCCCTCATTTCAGGCATTGCAGAGCAGTGTGTTTGTAGTAGTGTAGTTCTGTTGAATTAAATAGAATGTATGGTAGTAATTAATATTAAATAATTATATTGTTATTCTTTCAAAATTAATAAATTTTCACATAAGTATTCCTATTCAAGATTAAAAGGTTATCACACTTGAACATTTTTATTATTTTTAAAGCATGGTTGTGTTGATAACAAATAAACAAATTATTTGTCTAAATAACTTAGGAAAGGTAAACTATTAACTAAAATCTTCAAATATAAAATTAGAACTTATTGCATTTAAAATTTAGGAACCAGAATATAAACATGATAAGAATAAGACTTATAAATTTTTATGTTACACAGCCATACAAATAGAATTAAATAAATTATAAATTCACTATTTGATAGATATTCAATCATTTGCTCCAGTTCACAATATTTGAAACAAAATTTGTATTGAGTTACAAACTTCAGTAATTTTTATACATCTTAATCTAAAATAACTTTCATTTGTTGGTTAAACAAAGTCGTTGTCGGCCCACTTGAAATTATAATGAATTCCCAGCCTGCTGTGAACAGGAATAATAAAGAATCATATCCAAAATCAAATAATAAAATGAGTGATGAAGATTACAGTGATGAAGATGGCAGCTACAGAAGTGGAAGTTACACTGAGTCCGAATCAAATGCCTCTTATTCTGACGGAGGATCGAAAAAAACTATCAATGATTCCAAAAGAGGTGGAAGCATTTTTTTCGTTATAATTTTAAATCACATAATTAATTTAATATTTTTTGCTTACAGATTCAAAAACACCAAAAAAGTCACAAGTTCACCAAAAAAACCCAGCTTTGGTTAGAGGGGTGCCAAGAGGAACCATTTACAAGAAACGTGCAGCTGTAGGTGCTGGTGGAGATTCAGTTACAGAAAAAGTTCTATCAGAAAATAAAATTAAAATAGGAGAGTTGAGAAATAAGAACAGTGAATTGTTGGAATTGATTTCAAAGTATGAATATGAAAACAGAGATTTGATGAGGATAATAAGAAAACAAGAGAAACAATTAAAAACCTTTCAAGAACAAGTAATGAATGATGATAATGATGATGATAATTATAATTATGATGATTAATAATGACCGCGACGATGATGATGACGATTTACATTAATGAAAATGAGTCATTTATAGTTTTGACCAATCAATTGTTGATTGATCTTTGATTCTAGCATGTCTCTTTCTTCTTAGATTAATAGTGTTGCTAGAAGTTTTTACTTTCATCTACGTAGAATAAAAAAACTTTTGTTTTTTCTTGATGATCCTACTCATCTCCTTCTTGTTACTTCGTTAGTCTTACCTAGGATTGATTATTGTAAATCGCTCTACTATGGTCCTGGTTCTATACTCCATCCTTTAAGTAAAGCTTTTAACTCTAAATTATTTTCTATGTACTTATCAGATATATTAATTGTACCTAAACGCTCCGGTTTATGATTGTCTTCTTGTTAACTCGTGTTAAACATTTTTTTTCTAAATCTGCTTTTGCTTTTTCTGGCCTTTTTCTCTAGTACTCACTACCTACTTCTTTGACTACTTCTCCATCACTTGAATAATGTTGATTATTCAATGAACATCCTAATCACCTAACCGCAGGAGAACTCGATGCCAGTGTTGATACAGCGTCAGACGGCAGAAAGTCACGCCATGTACGAACAGATGAGAAACTTGAAAGAGAAACTTCGCAATCAGGAGAAAAAAATCAAATCAGCCGACGACGAACTTGAGCAGAAACAGAAACAACTGAAGAAGATGAAGGCTCTCGTCGACGACAGGTTTTTGTGAGCTTTTCTAAATTTTTTACTAGATTCTTAAAACCATGAAGAACTATTTGTAAAAAGAAATTTATTTCGCCATATGTTCATGATGGGATTGTTAGCAAATTCACTAATTAGGTGACGTTAATTGGAGAAATTCCTTTTTTAAGAGAGACATTAGCGGCTAACATACTTTGAATATTTCTGTATATGTTGATGATTCTTAGTGAAAATAGTAATTTGAATGATCTTAATTAAGGTGACGTGATAGTGTAATGCAATCCGTGGGGCATGGTTTCACGCGCATTCACAATCAATAAGAGATAATTGTCCTTTTAATGATGATATAATGTACAAATGAACAAATACTTAACTAGCCATTACAATTTTTTCAAACAACGTGTTTTTTGATGTTTTTTAATTCAATTACTCTTTCCACAACAGAGTTCGATTTAACTTTGAAATATCGATTAAGGACATAGGCTGTTATACTTTTATAAATAAAACTACTGTCGTAATTTATTGACGAAATGAAACCTTGGCTTGAAAATTATTTTTAATAATTCTTGTTTTTTCGCTGCAGTCATTTATTGGAGAGAGATGAGCTGACTCAAAAGCTGAAGAACATTGAAGCTGAACTGCAGAACAAGAGCGAAATCATCAGAGTAATTATTATCTTTTTATTCTATTGATGAATGTCGCTTTCAGGCCATTGTTAAATACATCATTTAACTTTTTCAATGAATTTTTTACCGACAAAATCCCTCAATTGGTGTTGGCTTCACACATTTATCAACTTTTTTATGGGCAATCAGATGTATATTTAAGTTTATTATTAATTTTCAATATTTGTTCAGAATTTAGAAAGACACATAGAAAACTTGAACAAGAATCACAAGCACGAGTTGGGTTTGAAGAAAGCCAAGCAGCAAGCCACAGTTTCTGAGGTGGACGCCCTGAGAGCTGAAATTGATCGAATGCAGATGCTGCTACATGTTGGATACTGATTTGTTATTTTTGAAAAGTTGTTGTTACATTTACATGAAATTTCTTACAGCCGCTATTCTTATTTGCCCAATTTTCATAGTTAAACTTTTGTGTCAGAAGGCTGTACTTTACGTCTACACAATGCTGGGTATTTTTTTTAAATTTTGTACGCGTAGTTCTCCATCATATGCTTAATATTCTTTGCGTTCCAGACAGATGACATTCGATCCTGGTTAGCTACAATTTAAGACATGATGCTTCCACGTCTGAGGTTACTAACTAACTAAATCGCTGGATCGACTCAATAAAAATTAGCACTATACATATAGTTGTTTTATTTTTAAATGGGTAGAACACTGAAATAATGAACAAGTCAGCGACCAAATTTAATCCACAATGATATTTGAACATTCATTGCAAACAGCTTAACGTATTGTTTGTTTTCTTTTGAAGGAGAAGGAAAAAGAGTTATCAGTCTTGAACATCTATGCACAGCAGAGATTTCAGATGAAGCCGCCCCACCGCCTCACTAGCTCCATAAGGTCCACACCCGTCTTCGACAAGCAGGGCAACCCCCAGAGCATGAGAGGAAAAAAAGATACAAACATCAACAAAGAACGTCTACAGGATCATTCTAGAAATCAAGTCAGTTTTTTTATTTGCTGCTTGAAATTATTTCTTATTAACGCTAATAATTCTAGCAATATTAGCCTTTTTTTGTTCTTTTTATACCCATTTCGATTTGTTCATTTTGTGAAGCTTGTCCATAACCCTAACGCGAATGTTAACATCAACAACGTCCCAACAAAACAAAAAAGATCCAACTCACCTGAAATAAAACTCAACAAATCCTTGCCAAATGATGCAAAAGTCTCAACTCGTTTCACTCAGAACATGGCAACAAGTAGCACTACGACCAGCACCAACCCACACGCTAAGCAGCCAAACACTCAAAATAAATTACATGGTATTAACGAGGAGAAAACTAACAAAAATCGGGAAAAAGAAGAAATAGAGAAGAAAATAAAAGAGATGGAGAGAGAAACAAAAATGAAAGTGATGAATCAAAATGGCGGAGGGATTTTTAACAGTCATAACAAAAAAGTTTTAGAGGAATCTCCTAGTAAAGATCGAATGAAAGCCAAAGATCAGCAAGAAAATCAGAAAGAAGTGCTGCTAAACAAGATGAAAGAAATTGACGGATCTGTCAATGTTTCGAAATCTTCATCCAAACAAAACGTGAAAAAATCAATCTTTGATGACGACGACGACGATCTACAGTTTGCATCGTACAAACCTTCTTTCTTGAATGACACATCCAACAAGAGCAACAACCACAATCACAAATCTTCCAACAAACCGGTCAGCGTGAAGAAGAGGGATGATTTATTTTCGGAACTTTTTGATGACAAACATAAGGACGACGATGAGGATTTTATTTTTGGGGCCAAAAAAACCACCTCATCTTATACGACCACGTCGAAATCGCCAATATTCTTCAACCTGAACACCACCACTACCAACAGCAACAACAGCAACAATAACAACGTCAACTCGAGGAATGCACTGAACTCCAAGACGAATCACCTTCCTAAAAAAAGCAAACAAAGTCTGGCCACCTTGAATGGAATCGATTCAGATGACGACGACGTTGGCTTTCGTGAATTAAAATTTAAATAAACAGTTTTATTGAGTTATTCATTTCAGTTTTATTGAGTTATTCAATTGTATAGTCAAGGTAATTTTATTACGTTTTATTAAAGGTGTTTTGAGTGTTTTTATTTAATTGTATTAATTATTTGATATCTGATGAATTTAATATATATATATCTAATATATTTAATTTTATTTATTGATTAGTTTACTTTAAAAATAAAATTACCTCAATAAAAATACTCTGAAATGAAAAACCAAATAAAAAACTTTGTAGGTGACAAACATGTAAACACAGTCAATTTATTATACAATAGCAACACCGTATGTTATACAACTTAAAAATACTTTTGTTTTTAGGCATAGTATACAATAATCATTTTAATGACAGCATTTATAACCGAATTTGTAACTAATAATTATTTTCATGTTTTGCAGATACGGATGCATATATGAGTATATAAGTAAACATATATATATATAATTGGTAATTTGTTAATTCATTTATTCATTCTTTCTGTCGTTCGTTCATCCGTTCATTCATTAATTCATAAATAATGCTATTAATTTGATTTAATTTTAAAGTTGCATAACGTTGAGTTGCACTAAATGTTTCTTAACGAGTTTATTAGCAATTGATGAAACACACGATTTCCACGATATTTTTCTTTCTAAACTTCACTGATTTACGACTGGGCATTGAGCTATTGGAGAATCATCAAATAATGGTTAAATATTCTAGTTCGATTTTGAGAGTTCAAATCAAATTTTTAAAAAAATTTTTTGAAATTTTTCGTCTCACTAACTTTCAATCCAATGTTTGTGGGAATAAAACTCACAAGATTTTTTGTCATCACGGGCATTCCACAGCTCCGATGATAGAATAACTAAACTTTACTAGACGACAACTTTCTTTCTAACCAACTTGAGGCTAATTTTTTTTGTTAAATTTTTCTAGATATCTTTTCCATTGTATTCCTAATTGAAATGTTCAAGATTTTGTACATTGCAGTTTCAACAAATCATTTAAGTTTTGACTTTCGATTTTAAACTTGAAGTATAAATTTTGTAATTTGTGGTGAATCTAATAACACTGAAGTTTTTAAATCGATAATTATAAATTTTGTTTTTGTTGCAAGCAAGTTAATTTAATCAAATGTGATATGTGATATGTTTCATTAAAACTAATTTTCTTATACAATTTATAAAACTGCACATTTATGGTATGATTGAACTAGGAAGCATCGAAAAAACTAAAATATTTATATTTCTGCACTAAGCCAAAAATTGCATATCTAGCACCGAAGTATTTTATATTTTATTCTTTCATTATTTGGCAAGATATAATTTGTTTCAGTGATACAATACTGTAAGTTTGCTTTCTATATTGTGTTTAATGATAATAATTTAACATTGTTTTGTGATCCAAACTATATACTCAGACAGACAAAATGTTTGTGACCACTTCAATTTCACATTTTGTGTGGGTTTGATAGATGTATTTATTTGTAATAAATAAACAGTTTTGAAATATTTTATTGTTAATATTTTCGAATGCACGGTCACTCGTTAAAATGTTTATTTAAATTACCTATTAACTTCATCATACTACAAACAAACTGTCTACAGTTTCAGTTTCAAAAGTGTACGTAGAAAACAAAATTTTACACAGATTCCGAAAAATAAGTTGATCGATCATTCATAAAAATAGTTTGCAGTTTCTATATAAGTTAAACGATACAAGTGATGTAAAATAATTTAATTGTAACATCGGCCGCTCCTTTTTTCTCCAACTTTCCATTTTCAACTGCAACTATCTTGGCAAAGGCACGCCACAGTTTTTGAGGAAATGTTTCTGAAGAATATTATCAAAACTAATGATCAACTTTTTCATTATTATTAATTATTCCCGTGTTGTTGTTATTATTTTAACTATTATTGTGCCATTTCCTGTATTAATCATTTTATGCAATAAAGTCAAACGTACAAATGTACAAAATGAGAAATAATGAAAATAAATCTTGTCGGTTTAGAAATAAGCAAATATCAGACTAGTTTGACTTCCTGTTGGACATGTCAGCTCCTTCAATCTTGGTTATGTGTGTGAAACAACACGGTTGGGAAATGTCGGATTTTTTAAAAGCTAGCTTGTTGGCACTTTTTGGCGAGTGCCTGTTTCCTGTTTTTGATTTCATTTTTTTTCTGCTATTACTCAAGTCAAGCACGTCGTCTTCGCCATCATTTGTTATTCTGACGTAATGACTATAAAATAGGTTGGCTGACATTGCGTCGTAGAAGCGAATGCCAACATGTTTCGAATGATCTTTTGAAGAATTCATTATGTGAAAATTTGGTTCCTGACCGATTCTGTATTGGCTCAAATGTGTTAAAACATCTCTCCACATTGGGAAAGCTGTTCCTTTCTCGGCCAGTACTATGTGAAGTCGTTTTTGTCGTCTGCTTTCACCAGAGTCCAGAACGAATACAGGTATTCCTTCTTTGTGGAATGTCCACTTATAATTATTTGGAGAATTATGTGATTCTGTTGCTAATTCAGAAAATTTGGATGATCTAGGAGAGCCATGCATCTGTTGAAGAAGTTTCTGTTGCACCTGAGAAACGTTTGAATTACATCCAGATGAGCTTAAAAACACAGCTGCCATGCATGTGCTAACGTAAACTTCTGTTTTGTGACCCTTGTAAAACGTTTCCACTTGTAAAAGATCATGTTCTGTCAGGTGCTGAGGTGGAAGCACATTCTTGTTTCGTGAATCAACTTCGTTATAAACTTGTTTCTGTTGTGTTTCTGGCTGTTTAATATTACGTAGTTGCACACACTGGTTTTGTCGCTGAAACGAATCAACTGGTTGAGGAGTTGCTAAATGTGCGGCATCTGGTGGTGGAGGAAATGGTAAGTCTGACCAGTTAACGTTTAAAATTTGATTGGATAGGCTGTCCATCAAAAGATCTGAATAGTTTATATTTGTAAGATCAGCACTGAACGGTTGCTGCAAACTGCTGAGCAAACACTGGTTGAGATTATGAACACTAGAGTTTAATGACTCAATAGCCGATGGATTGATGGACTGGTGAATGTTATTTAAATTGATGTTGTTCTGTAGTATGGAAGTATTGTTTGTTGATGCAGATGCCTGTAACGGTACAATTTGTTTGGACATCCGGGCCCTTTCTAGAGAATCATATTTACTTTTGATTGTTTTTACTGCTTCTTCTACTTTTGCTGCCCCACATCTGAATTTCTCCCACTCTTCCTTACTTTGAGGAACTTTTTCATAACCGTTGTCATCAACGTTTGAGTGGTTTGTTGATCGTGATTCCGGAAAAGTGTTGTTACAAGAGTTGTCATTCGCCGCACGAAGAGAGGAGGAATGTTTCGAATTGTGTGGAAGACTACCATACTTTTGGGGACTGGAATGATTAGTTGATGACGACGATGATGACGTCACCGATGTTGTCATCTTGTCTTGGTCTTCTTCTTCAATTTTTGATAATCTCCAATTTTCTGTGTTGTTCACTTTCAAGCTCTTCATTCTGAAAATATAAATTAAATCAAAGTTTTACATACAATATTTTTAAGTTATTGTTTTTGAAAATTTTCCATAATAAAATTATTCCTCAAAATTTAAACAGATTTGTTTACTAAGATTTGTTTACTAAGATTTAAACAGATTTGTTTTATTAAGTGTTATTTCGTGATTTTTGCAGCCCTAATCCGTTGATAAATCATAACTTTTTCAAATTACTTTTTGAAAATTTAATTCATTTTGTTATAAAAACATTTTTTGCGACTAATGTATTCACTCTAGAGTACGGCAATTTTTAAGCCACCGGTGGATAATATCATAAAAAACAACAATAACACGAACGATGAGAACAACAAAAACCAAAAATATAAACAAAGAATACACGAACGAATGCCACTGAAAAATAATTGTCCTCCACAGTGATACTCCATCAACATCCGTGGATTAATATTGATGCAATAAAAACATTCGTCTCATCGAACATACCGGGAAAAACAAACTGGCGCAATAATTCGCGCGAATTCGAACACTTCAAAAATATGTCTGTCCCGTCCTTGACACAGAATAGTCTACCACACATGCGTATAATAATAATCGTCCATCAACGTCGTCACATGTGTTGGAGTTGTTGAAGTTGTTTCTTTATTCATGCAGACGTTTGAGTTGTTTGTATTTATTGCGTTGATAATTTTGTTATTTGGGTTTATGTTCATGTTGTTGTTGTTGTTGTTGGTGGTGGTGTTGCTGTTTTGGGTTTCAATTTATTGATATTGTACTCTCGTTGATCGTAATCTGCAAGATTATTTCAGGCTGCATGTAGAATATCGAATGTATGGATGAACAACTACATATTAAAGCAACATATTTTATTCTCTGTGTTTTCACAAAACAATGGTAATATTGAGTGTGACGAAATCTTGGTAACATTGTTATTTGAGATAACATGATATCGTGATGGTGGTATTTCTTGTTGCTGTTTGAGTTCAATCAGCATACGCAAGGTTTAATAATGACTGACTGAATGTTTGGATTAACAAAATGATAGTGAATTAGGAAATAAATTAGCCATGAGTCTGTTCTGAGTGGAACTGTCTAAATGCATTTAGTTAAACATTTATTCTTAATCTAAATGGAAAAGAAAAAACTTTAAATATTTTGTGGGTTCGCTGCAGTTGATTAAGCAATTTCTTTTCCAGGCTGATATGACAAAAACTTTTTAACGTCAGCTATACAAATTTTGTATACGTCAAGAATATAAATATAATATTTATCAATCTTTTTTGAGATGTCATTTCTTTAGTAGTTATTGAAGTTGAATAGAGGTAGGATTTGCATGGCTGGGACAGCAACAGAATCTGTATTCATTCTGATGACTTATTCTGACGTGTGTGCGTATGTGTGTGGGGAGTGTGTGTGTTGTAAGTATGTGTAAATGTGTACAGTGCACCTGTGTATATGTGTTTATACTCCTAGTGTCTCTCCATACACAGTGTGTGTGTACGACGACGAGTATGTCTTGTATGTATGATTTTGTCAACACTCTCTCTACGAAAGGCAGGTAGGTTATTTTAATACAAATATTATTGAATGGCGGTGGCGTGTAGGGAATGAGTTATCTGGCAGCTCTTCAGTGCACGTTTCATTTTGAAAGTCGCTTTGTAAGAATTAATTAAAAAATTGTTTGCGTAATTGCTTTTTTTGATGATCGTGTTTTTAAAGTACCGAAAGTAAATTTCTGTCATAACTGTTATTATATTTATTATTACTACTACAATTTGTATTATTTGGGCAGCGTGATGGTGTAACGGTAAAGTACCTGGCACTTATCGGGCATGTTTTTTCGTCAATTTTCCTGATTTGCCCTGTTTTCGAGTTAGATATGCAATAATCGTTGTGAACGTAATAATATCAACAACAACAACAACAAACAAGTACTTATCAATATATTTCCACTACCAAACGTTAATAACATTGAATTGAGTCTAGGAATTTGTTTCGTTGTGATGTACGTAATAGTCGATATTCTGTTTAGAAATGACACAAAGAGGTTAAAAATATGATACTGGTAATGGCTTGCTGGGATGGTGAAAAAATTTCACAAAAGTTATTTATTCCAGTGTTTTTTGAAAATGTTTCAAAAATAAAAGTTCAAAACGAAAGTAAGTTTCACCGGTTCAATTATTTTTCGTTTCATGTTTGATGAACGTGTTTTATGCCACAATTATTTGTTAATCGATAACATTATCAATAACATAGAAAAAATACAAAATTAATCATTTTCTCGTGTAAATAATGTTAATTTTTTTGTCACAGTAAATGTCAAAATCGTTAAAAATGTTTACATCATATGCTAGACTTTTTTTAACAGAAGAATAGTGTTAACATTAAATATGATTTATCAACTTTTAATTGTAGCTTGCTTGATTTTAATTGTATTCCGAGAAAACTTAACGTTTGAAATATTTAGTATTTTATTTTTTACTATGTTCTCTGAGTCATTGCAACGTAAAAATTTTTATTAAATTTTTCTAAAGCCCTCAAATTTTTGCGACATTTTCTGAAAAATATTTTGACTTGCGTTGTTAACATTGCTAGCCAGCAGTGAGTTGGACAGGTAATTTTAATGGATGGTATAAATATGTTGATGAATGAAAGAATGAATGAAAGAATAAATGAATGAATGAACGAACGAACGAACGAACGAACGAACGAATGAATGAATAAATGAATGAATGAATTAGTGAATAAACGAGTGAGTTAATGAATGAATAAATTAATGAATGAATAAAAGCTACACAAAAACATCACGTGAAATCACTTGAGTGAGAGTCCAATTAAAACTAACCAAGTGAATACTTGAGCGGACGTAAAACTCAAGATTCACTATTAGAATGGAGAGCTTCTAAGTTTTATATTAATAAATAGAATACGTTAACGAAATCCTCACAAGGTTATAAAAATAGGTTAAGTTATAATTTACGTGTCAGTTAAAGATTTATTTTCAAGATTCTATATTTTTTTAGGCACATGGCATGAAGCAAGTTTTCATCAACTAACAAAAAACTGGTTCAACTGGTGAACGTGGAGAAAAAACAAAATAATGTTAGATATTCATAAATGTTCTGTAGGCTCCTGCTTGTTCCGCGTCAAATGATACATGTCCTTTGATATGGGAGGGATTATGAGGGACGAGCGTGCATACATTTGCATTCCCGCAGTGAATCGCATCAAACAAATTACAATAACGTTACGTACGTGAAAGCACACAGACGTATCAACACTTGAGTTTGTTTATAAAAGATTTTTCTAGTTTTCGTTTTGTATCCTAACCCAACATGTATGGGCATAATGAGCTTGTGGATGCTTGTATAAACGTGTTCAAAGAAAAGCATCTTAAACAGAAAAGCATCTTAAACAGAAATAGATCTGTTGGAAGATTAATTGGCAAACATTAACTTAAAAATGGCCTGTCTCTCTAAATGAAGTGAACGAGAAGAAATAAATGGAACTAGTGTCACTGGGGCAAACAACAATATACGGTCGGTTAAGTGACAATAATCATTTGATTTATGTTTTTGTTATTAATGACTTTGATTTGGAAATACTTCGTAAATGGAAGAAGGACACACCACTGCAGATATAAATAACATAGTTGTTTCAATAACACATAAACAGCCTAGCTTGTATGCAGACGAGAACTTGTTATGAATGTGTATGAGAGTTTCATGTTGAACTCCAAAAACTGCTTCTAATAATGCCTATATGACATGGTTCATACGTTCGTAGATTCCCCCAGAGTTCGTTCGTAGATCCCCCCAGGTCTGGTTCTTACTGCTCCATATAATCTGCTCCATGTCAAAATTGTCTAGGTGTGTATTTCTATACGTGCGTGAGTGTGTCATGATAAATCGTAGAAGATTTTACTTTTGAAAAGTATTTATGTACATACAAAAAAGACATTAAATAAATTGTATGTGAACTATTTACATATATACAGATGCCTGTTATACATTTGAGATCATGTATGCAGAACTGTGTATGTTTGTTTTTTGTTGCTTGTGAATGAGTTGTGTGTTTTTAGGGAATGAATGAAAATGGAATTTCAGACATGACAAGCAGATTTAAGTGTGTCCTGTCTGTCTGAGTGTCTATCCGTCTGTCTGAGTGTCTATCCGTCTGACTGACTCTTTGTTTGC